CGGGAGGCTGAGGCAGGAGAATCACTTGAACCTGGGAGGTGGAGGTTGCAGTGAGCCAAGATCACACCACTGCACTCCAGCCTGAGCAACAGAGTAAGACTCCGTCTCAAAAATAAATAAATAATAAATAAACAAACAAACAAATTCCTTCCTTAGGCCAGTCGTGGTGGCTCACACCTATAATCCCAGCACTTTGGGAGGCCAAGGCAGAAGGACTGATTGAGCCCAGGAGTTCAAGACCATCCTGGGCAACACAGTGAGACCCGATTTCTTAAACAAACAAACACCTTCTGGTACCTATAAAAGAATAAAAATAACTTGATATAACCCTTCCAACCTATTAACAAAAAATCTAATGGAAAGTAGAATGAGTGTGTTACATACGTTAGAGGACAAGGGCCAGAAAAGAGATATAGGTCTTTTCTTTATGAGTTATCTAATGTTCCAAGGAAGCGGGAACAGGCAGAGCGAACAGAGAGAAAGCGGCCATGCTGACTTCCCTAGCCTTGCTCTCGGGATGAAGTCCCTGCCAGACCCACCGTCAGGGGTGCCCACCACGGGCTCAGGTGCACTGGGGCTGCTGAGGGCATCACCACTCAGCCCCTCCTTGAGGGCAGCATCTGGGATGACGACGGCCATGGACGCTGCTTGTTTCTTGCAGGATGACAAAGATGTCTCTGAACAGGGCGTGATGGAAGGCGGAGTCCAACGGGGCACAAAGGTTATGCCTTCTTCTTCTAACTGGCGAAGGTAGTATTCAATGATTTCCTTTCCCTTTAAAACAAAAGCAATTTAAAGGTGAATATATATTCAATATTCAAATCATTCATCCCTCCCAAGATTTTTCTTTTTTTCTAGCCAACAGAAGATGGTGAGCCTCAAAAGCTTTTTTTTTGAGACAGGGTCTCGCTTTGTGGCCCAGGCTGGAGCGCAGCGGCATGATCACAGCTCACTGTACTCTTGACCTCCTGGACTCAAGCCATCCTCCTATCTCAGCCTCCCCAGTAGCTGGGATTACAGGTATGTGCCACCACATCTGGCTAATTTTTGTGTTCTTTGTAAATATGGGGTTTCGAAATGTTGTCCAGGCTGGTCTCGAACTCCTGGGCTCAAGCAATCTGCCCACCTCAGCCTCCCAAAGTGCTGGGACTACAGGCACGAGCCAGTGCGCCCAGTCCCTCACAAGCTTTTTAAACACCAATAAAACTGAATTGCTACAAAATAAATAGAAAAAAAAAAAAAAAGGCCAAATGGTTTTGTGTGTTTATTTTACTTGTTCTTTTCCAAGGTTTAGGAACTAATATCTAAAGAGATGGAATTTTTATATGACTATTTTAAAATGCTGATTTATGGTACTTGTACTCAATATATGATTTCTGTCTCAATTTCAATTCTTTTCAACGCAGTACCCTGAAAATGAGCCTTCAAAAACCACTCCATAATCCCACGTGGATAGATTTCAAAACCACAATTCCATAACAACTGATGAGCAACAACACAAAAACGAGAAAGGAAGGTCTTCCGTGGAAGAACTGACAATCCAAGGGGGGCAGCCTGCCTGGCAAGCACCTCCCCAGGCCCCCAGGCCTCCTCCCGATCCTGCTGCAAGGCCTGGGTGCTGTGTGCCAGCTGCTGCTGCCTCTCCCCAACTTCTACCTCTCTCAGCAACTCCAGGCAGACAGTGTCATAGCGTGAGCGACAGGCACCTCCTTCCCCCATCAGCAACCAGCACCACCTTAACCCCTATACCTAAAGATGAGGCGGGGGTAGGGATCACAGCGTCTTCCACCCAAGAAATGCTGCAAATCCTTCGCTAAACCCATCTCCAGCCTTCCAAAAAGACGGGTCATCTCAGAGACTCCTGCCCACCCTCTGCCACAAAATCCCAAGATACACTCACTTTTTTAATGTTGCTGGTATATTGTTTCATTGCAATTTTTTCCACAGTACTTTCAAAACCAAAGAAAGATTTAATATCTAAACTTGCAGACTGTTCAAAACAGGTCCAATCTTCATTTTCAGGGTGAACCTGCAGATAAAGAGAAAGCACTCTCACTGACTGAACTGACAACAGAACATCATTTGTCTGCTCCTCAGTTTAACCAGGAACCAGAAGAAACACTTACTTTACTAATAATGCTACTATCACAAAGACAGCAGATGGAAAAAATGCCAAAATCATGTTCAAAATCAGGACCAAAATCACATTCTAAATCATGAAGAGATCCAAATAATTGTTCAAAAACATTTCAAAGATGACTATAAAAAGAGAGCTTCGGCCAGGTGCAGTGGCTCACACGTATAATCCCAGCACTTTGGGAGGCCGAGGTGGGTGGATCACGAGGTCAGGAGATCGAGACCATCCTGGCTAACACAGTGAAATCCTATCACTACTAAAAATACAAAAAATTAGCCAGGCGCGGTGGCGGGTGCCTGTAGTCCAGCTACTCGGGAGGCTGAGGCAGGAGAATGGTGTGAACCCAGGAGGCGGAGCTTGCAGTGAACCGAGATCGCGTCACTGCACTCCAGCCTGGACGACAGAGCGAGACTCTGTCTCAAAAAAAAAAAAAAAAAAAGGAGAGCTTCATTTTCATTCTTGCTTCATTCATTCAACATACTCACTCAATAGTCTTCTCCATCATGAACAAAAAGGTACTGGCCTTGGAAGCTTTCAACAGAGTCTAACAGAGGAGACAATCAGCCAGAAACACAGTAGGTAAGAAAATTAAAGATAAGTAAGTGCTATGGAAAAAAGAAACCTTGAAGCAGGCTGAAAGAACCAGGGATAGGGGTCAGGCATGATGGCTCACACCTGTAATCCCAACACTTTGGGAGGCCAAGGTGAGAGGATGGCTTCAGTCCAGGAGTTTGAGCCCAGCCTGGGCAACAGGGCAAGACCTCATCTCTACAAAGAAATTTAAAAATTAGCCAGGTGTGGTGGCATGTGCCTATAGTCCCAGCTACTTGGGAGGCTGAGGTAGGAAGGATCACTTGAGTCTGGAAGGTGGAGGCTGCAGTGAACTGTGATTGTGCCACTGTACTTCAGCCTGAGTGACAGGGCAAGATCCCATCTCTGAAGGAAAAAAATAAAGACTGGGGGTTGGGGTGTCGGGCTGCAGAATTAAATAGGTGGCTGGGGCTGGCCAAGAAGGGGTAACCTGAGCCGAGATGGGAGGAGGTGAGACTAGAGACGTAGGGAGGAATAGCACAGCACAGCAGCGAGCACCTTGGAGCCAAAGCCCCTGAGGGATGCCCACTGCATGGCAAGGAAGACAGGAAAGGTGTGACCAGGAGAGAACTCAGGCCCTTGCAAGCCACCATAAGGACTCTGGGCTCTTCCCCTGGGTGAACTGCGGAGACACTCCAGGGTTTTGAGCCCAGAGAAGTGACTTGATCTGACACACTTTAAATAGATCACTTTGAATTCAGTGTTAAGGATACACTGCAGGGGAGAAGGGCAGAAATACAGCAATCTGGCAGGAGAGTATTCTAAAATTCTGATAAAAGAAGTTCTTGACACAGGGTGGTAAGCAGTGAAGATACTAAGACAAACACTCGCGGCACTAATCTTAAAGGCACACATCTTAGTACTTCATTAGATATTTCTAACATATTACAGTGAGACTAGAAAAGAAGTGGCATATGAAAGTAATATTTAAGGCTGGGCGTGGTGGCTCATGACTGTAATCCCAGCACTTTGGGAGGCTGAGGCAGACGGATCACAAGGTCAGGAGTTGGAGACCAACCTGGCCAACACGGTGAAACCCTGTCTCTACTAAAAATACAAAAATTAGCCAGGTGTGGTGGCAAGCAACTATAATTCCAGCTACTTGGGAGGCTGACAAATGAGAATCACTTGAACCTGCAAGGTGGAGGTTAAAGTGACCTGAGACTGTGCCACTGCATTTCAGCCTGACTGACAAGAGTGAAACTCCATCTAAAAAAGAAAAAAAGAAAGGAAAGAAAGAGAAGAAAGAAAAGAAAAAAAAGAAAAGAAAAGAAAGGAAAGAAAAGAAAGAAAGAAAGTAGGCCAAGGGGTGGATCATGTGAGGTCAGAAGTTCCAGACCAGCCTGGCCAACACGGTGAAACCCCTTCTCTGCTAAAAATACAAAAATCAGCCTGGCGTGATGGCGTGTGCCTGTAATCCCAGCTACTAGGGAGGCTGAGACAGGAGAATCCCTTGAGCCTGGGAGGCGGAGGTTGCCGTGAGCCAAGATCATGCCACTGCACTCCAGCCTGGGTGACAGAGGGAGACTGTGTCTCAAAAAACAAAACAAAACAAAACAAAACAAAAAAAACAAAAGCAAAACCAAATCAAGGCATCACTTAGCTGCCTTAACTGCCACAACAACATAATCTACTCTGCAGGAGACCATACCTGGTACCCTTCCTCCTACACATGAGAAATAAGTGACAACATCTAATGAAGAACTACCCTCTAAGACAAAAAGATGCACTGTTCAAAATGGTGATCAAACAATCCTCAGAAGCCACATGTCAGCAGAACGTCTTCCACGGAGTGACAGATTACTCACGGTGTAGCAGCAATGCTCGTTAATGATGACCCGATTGGAAAATGTTTCATTATGAGCCTCAATGTGCAAAGTACGTTCCCGAGAATTCAGTGAGTTTTTCTGGACAAAATAAACATAATCAACTCCTGCAATCTTAAAAAAAAAAAAAAAAAGAAATAAAGAGAAAAAGTGTTAACTAGTAATATCCAATTGCACAGAAGCTGTAGTGTAACTTCGTGTTGTCTTCGGGAGGTGCCCTCCAAGACGCCCTTTCCGCCCGTTACCTTCTTCAGCAGTCTGGGTGCATCGACATCCAGCTTGCAGCGCCTTTCAATGACATGAATAGCCCCATCTTCACTCTTGAATTCATTCACAGTGTCACTGCCCACGAACATCGGAATCAAAGGACACGTAGGGAACCTCCTTTCATAGGCCTATAAATTTAAAAACAAAAAAAGCGGAAGTGAGCAAAAGACACATCCTGATGTCCTGCCGCTGAACGTGTTCTCCCTGGAACAGCACCTCTCGGTGCACGGCAACGGGCAGCGCCACAGCTGTCTGTCTTCACATCTGAAGCTTTCGTTAAAGAAGACAAAGACACTCGATGACCATGGATTGGAAGATTCAACCTAGTAAAGATCTCAATTCTCCCCATAACTAACATCATTCCTAACAAAACCCCAGCAAGATGTTTTGGTAACTATAGACAAGCTTGTTTTAAAATTTATATAGAAAGACAAAGGAACTAGAATAACTAAAACAACTTTGAAAAAGATGAATAAATTGGGAGGAGTCAGTCACCCCAGTATTAAGGCTTACTATACAACTACAGTAATCAAGACCGCCTAGTATTAGGAGAGGGGTAACTGACATACAGCTCAATGGGACAAAATATAGAACCCAGAAACAGACTCAAACAAATACACCCAACTGATTTATTTTTTAGTATCTGCACCTTTGTCAGGAAACACCAATTGATTTTCAACAGAGATGTAAAAGCAATGGGGAAAAGAAAGGAGGCCAGTCTTTTCAACACGTTACTGGAGCAATTACACATCCATAGGCAAAAACAATAACAACAATGAATCTTGACCTAAACCTCACACCTTGTATAAAAAGTAACTCAAAGATCAGGGACTTAAATGTAAAACACAAAACTAAAACTTTTAGGAAAAAAGATAGAAAATCTTTGGGATCCTGGGCTAGGCAAAGAATTCTTGGATGTGACACCAAAATCACAATCCATAGGAGAAAAAATAGATAAAATGAACTTCATCAAAGTTAAAAACATTTGATCAGCTAAAAGACCCTGTTAAGGCCAGGGGCAGTAGCTCACGCTTGTAATCCCAGCACTTTGGGAAGCTGAGGCGGGCAGATCACAAGGTCAGGAGATCGAGACCATCCTGGCTATAGACACGGTGAAACCCTGTCTCTACTAAAAATACAAAAACATAAACTGGGAGTGGTGGCGGGCACCTGTAGTCCCAGCTACTCGGGAGGCCGAGGCAGGAGAATGGCGTGAACCCGGGAGGTGGAGCTTGTAGTTAGCCACTGCACTCCTGCCGGGGCGACAAAGAGACTCCGTCTCAAAACAAAACAAAACAAAACCCGTTAAGAGGATGAAAAAACAAACTACAAAATGGGAGGAGGTATTTACAAACCACGTATCTGACAAAGGACTAGTGCCTAGAATACATAAAAAATTCTCAAAACTCAACGTAAGTATAGTGAACCAGGAGAACACTGGTTTGGACTGAACTCCTGCACCAGGCCCAGCAGACCAAACCAAAATGGAGTCCCTCTTGGTAACCTCCACACTACCAAGCCAAAAGTAAGCTGTTTATCTGACTTTCCAAGAAATCAGGAGAGAGAGAACAGCGAATCCCCCAAACGGGCCAGTTTGGGCCAGCGTGATAAGGAAGTCCCCTCTGCGTTAACCTTTGCAAGGAAAGCCACTCTGAAACCACCCATCTGCTTGCTGTTCTCTGTGCCTGTTTCCCTCACCCCTTTTCTGTCTACAGAGCCACCTTCCTCTGCTGGGCTCATGAAAACACTCACTCTATTTTACAGAATTCTATTTTATAGAATGAGGTGTTGCCTGATTCTGGAACCAAAAAAGCCAATTAAGATCCATACACTAACATACACTAAATTTGTTGTAATTTTGTCTTTTGACACACAATTGAAATTTAAAAATGGTTAAGATGGTAAATTTCATGTGCTTTTACCATGATCAAAAAAAAAAAAAAAAAAACTCAAGAGTTTACAAAAGTCCAATTAGAAAATGGGCAAGAGACAGAAAGTGATATCTCACCTGAGAGGATACACAGATGGCAAATAAGCACACGAGAGATGTTCATTAGAGAAAAGGGCCATTGGCCGGGCGCGGTGGCTCAAGCCTGTAATCCCAGCACTTTGGGAGGCCGAGATGGGCGGATCACGAGGTCAGGAGATCGAGACCATCCTGGC